GGTGGGGAGGGGCAGAGAGAGGAGAGAATCCCAAGCAGGCTCTGCGGTGGAAGTGCACAGCCTGAAGCTGGGTTTGATGCCACCAACATGAGATCATGACCTGAGCCAAAATCAGAGTCTGAAGTTCGACTGACTGAGTCACCCAGGCGCCCCTGGCCTGTAAATTAAAATGTATTATGAAAGACAGGCTTAGAACTATTACAGATTTTAAAACACTAAACGTGACAGCTTCCAACTTGTGATCCTCCATTAGATCATGAACCAGGAAAAAAAAATTTATTTGCTTTAAAGGACATAAGTGGGACGACTGGTAACACTTTAATAAGGACTGCAGAATAAACGATAGACTTAATATTATTTTCCTAAGTTTGATTATTGCACTGATTATGTAAGATAATGTCTTCGTTTTTTAGGAAATAGTACATCATGTCTAATAGGTACATCATGTCTAACATCCTCTCAAATGGGTTTAGAAGTAAATGACAGAACAGTAAAGCAAACATATAATGTTAACATTTGGGGAACGTAAGTGAAGCTGTTTGGGGAATTATTTGCGCTGTTTTGCAACTTACCTGTTAAGCCTGAATTACTTTAAAATAAAAGGTTAAGGGACGCCTGGCTGGCTCAGTCAGTAAAGCATGTGCCTCTTGATCTCAGGATTGTGAATCTAAGCTCCACCATGGAGCCTACTTAAAAAAAAAAAACAAATAAAACAAAAGGTAACAGAATTGCTGGGATCACTTAGAGGAAAACAAAACAAAACAAAACGAGTACTAAGCCATGAGTAACAACATTTAGACAAAAACCCGGGGTACTTAGGAGAAACGGAAGAAAAATGGACGAACGTTAAAAGAAGTCAAATGGAATGCGGACACAATTATAATGAAAGTCACAGCTTCTGTGCTCTTCTTCATTCTAAAGTCCTACTGGATGACCGTCCTGCCACTAACCAGGGTGCCTCACCATACACCACTGCTCCGGTCAGCCAAAATGCAACAAGGCTCGAACCAGCTCCGCCATGTTTTCCCAGTGAGCATGCGTGCGCGTATGCACGTACGACCCTAACCAATCAGTGCTCGCGTCGGCGGCTCGTTAATCGCAGGGGCGGGGCGGCCTTCTACACATCCGCCCGGTCGGGCGGCCCTTCTTCCTTCTCGCTGAACGCCGCCAACATGGTGAGTATTGCTGTTGCGGCCTCCGGGTGTGGCGGCCATGCCGCTCCACCTCCGCCTCGGAGGGGGAAGGAAGGCGTGGGACGATGTCCAGCGGGACTTAGGTAGCCTTGGGTGAGGGTCCCGAGGCGGGTGGGGCACGGAGTTTCGGAGCTTCCGAGGCGCCCGGTCGAAGAGCGCGTGGAAGGCCTTGCAGGCCCGGCACGCCTAGGCCTCGCGTGCGCGCGGTAGCCGCCAGAGCTGGAAAGCTGGAGCGGCCCTGGGTCTGCCGGGGCCCAGCCGGCCTAGGGCTGTGCAGACCCCATGTGCTTGGAGCTCCAGCCCGCGGGAACCGGACTTTGGCGCCGCCGCCTCTGCGTGTTTTGTCCATTCATCAGGTCGTCTTACGACACTTGGGCGTGTTCCCCGAACGTTCTTTTTTGCTGTACTTCTATTGCTTTTGGATTGCAAAGCCTTATAAACTGACGAATATTTTCAATTTCAGTAAGTCTTTCCATCTCCCTCCCCCTCGATTTTAGGTGTTCAGGCGTTTCGTGGAGGTTGGCCGGGTGGCCTACGTCTCCTTTGGGCCTCATGCCGGGAAGCTGGTAGCGATTGTAGATGTTATTGATCAAAACAGGGTAAGTGTAAGGAAAAGTAGCACAACTTCACATGCCAGTGACTGATCTGCAGTATGATGGCAATGGTAATTTTCCCAATGGCCCTCTTGAGATAGGAATGGGACAGGTTGTAGCTTTAATTTACCATTGAGGAAACACGCAGTGCCAAGTGGGGTTTCATGCACAGGCTTGAATTGGCCAGATGTTCTTGGGTTTGAGTATTACTCTGACACTTAAACTGGCCAGACCTTTTGACTGACTGTGGGCTGAAACAGTTGGTGAGGTTTAGAGGAGTTCCTATGTGTAAAGTGAGTGTAGAACAAAGCCAGGCACACGGAAAGCCCTTGTATGCTTTTGGTATTTGAGAACCATGAACTAAGTGACCAAAGTTTGCGAATCCTTGTTTGGGGTACTATTATGTTTTGCACTGAGATTTTTGATCTTATGTGTTCTAGGCTTTGGTTGATGGACCTTGCACTCAGGTAAGGAGGCAGGCGATGCCTTTCAAATGCATGCAGCTCACGGACTTCATCCTCAAGTTTCCTCACAGGTAACTATATGCCATGTCTCCCAACTTTGTTTATACTAGTAAAAGTTTGCTTCATCTAATTCAGAAAACATTTTGCCATTTTGTTGTCTTGAGAATGCAACATACAGTGTTGAAGAGAAAGAACAATTCAGAAGAGGGGTTTTCAGTATAGAAAGGAATGGCCGTTGTTTCCTTTTTTATTTTTTTTCCACCCTGCTAGTTCTCTGGCTTTGTCTTTATCCAGGTTTGCCATGTTTTTCTTGCTTCCTTTCAGGATTTACACAACAAATACCACCCTGGGGAATTCTGGTCTCCCAGACATATTGTAGTCACCTTTAGCTTAAAGAGCAAAAACTAATTTTTGTCTCTTCCAGTACTAGCTGTCATTAGTTCAGCTTTTAGTGTGTGTCAATTATTAAGTATTTAACCTACATCATTTCTTTTTGACAGCCACTAAAGCGATTCTGTTTCCAGCTACTTATAGGAAATAGAAGATATCAATAGTGATTTTTTTTTTCTTGACATGATATAGATTATGGAAGTTAAAACACTGTGATGTGTTACTCTAAAGTTATTTCGACTGCAGTGACGGTTGATTGCATGGAACGTGTGCTGTCACGTGTACTGCTGGTTTATTACGCATGCAGGGTTTTGATACTTCCAAGTATTTGAACAAAACTTCAAAATTATTATAATTAGATTTTTTTGTTGTTTGGCCGTCTATCTTTAAGCATTATTGTACAGAATAAACATTAGGCCTAAGGATTAGCTTTATCTCATTCTTTATGAAAAGGAAATTGCTTTGTATACATCCACTGCACCAGAGTGATGGTATATACAAGGTCAGAGGTAATTTTATATCCAGAAAGATTGGTTTGCTTTTTTTATTACTATTATTATAAAAATTGTATGTTTGAGGGGTGCCTGGCTGGCTCAGTAGAGCATGGGACCTCTTGATTTGGGAGTTGTGAGCCCAAGCCCCATGTTGGACTAGAGCTTACTTTAAAAATAAATAGGACCATCCTGGTTTGGTGAACAACATTCAAGTGAGTAAAAGACCTAGCGTGCTAAGTGGTATGTGGTCTTTGGAGACAACTACAGCTGGAAGTGTGATGAATGAGTGGGAAGGGTGCTTTTGGCTTGTTTTGCTTAAGCTGTTTAACTTAACAGGGTATAAATTGTGCATTCAGAAGGCTCAGAGCTGTCTTTGGGTCTGTGTGGCTTCAAAGTTGATTCCTTAATCTGGTCTTGGCTCTTTCTAGTGCTCGCCAGAAATATGTCCGACAAGCCTGGCAGAAGGCAGATATCAATACGAAATGGGCAGCCACAAGATGGGCCAAGAAGATTGAAGCCAGAGAAAGGGTAATGACTTAGGGTGACTTGAATTGTGACCTTTTCTTTTATGGAGGAGTGGTAGGTGGTATGAGCGATCATATATTTACTTCCTTTTTCACAGAAAGCCAAGATGACAGATTTTGATCGTTACAAAGTCATGAAGGCAAAGAAAATGGTAAGTTTTAAAATTGTTACAAGATTTTTATATTCTAAATTTTTTTTAACATTTATTTATTATTATTGAGAGACAGAGCATGAGCGTGGGAGGGGCAGAGAGAGGGGGAGACACAATCCGAAGCAGACTCCAGGCTCTGAGCTGTCAGCACAGAGCCCAGTGCGGAGCTCAGACTCCCAAACCGGGAGATCATGACCTGAGCCGAAGTCAGATGCTTGACCGAATGGGCCACCCAGGCACCCAAGATTTTTATATTCAAACCCTAAAGTTGGTAATTCAGATTGCCCAAGCTTGGTAGACCAAAGTTGAATTCATAGGGGTCTTAGACATAAGGCTTATTTTCTGCGCATATACATTCTATACATACAGGATGGAAAAAATAGGTTTTTGTGTGCGTATGTGGTAAATAATTTATGTTGAAATTTTTCAGAGGAACAGAATAATCAAGCTTGAAGTTAGGAAGCTACAGAAAGCAGCTCTCCTGAAAGCTTCTCCCAAAAAAGCACCTGCTGCTAAGGGTGCTGCTGCAGCAGCTGCTGCAAAAGTTCCAGCAAAAAAGATGGCCGCTGCGGGCAAGAAGGCTCCAGCCCAGAAGGTTCCTGCCCCAAAAGCTGCAGGCCAGAAGGCAGCACCTCCAAAGGCTCAGAAGGGTCAGAAAGCTCCAGCCCAGAAAGCACCTGCTCCGAAGGCATCGGGCAAGAAAGCATAAAAGCAGAAGAGGCTATTATAAATCCGTAATAAAGGTTCTTTTTGACACGCTGGCAAGTGTACTTGATCTATGACATAAAGTCTGTTGCCAGGGTCAGGATTATGGCGCAGATTGATAGGATTGTTAATGTTACCATTTAAGGGATGATGGTTAAAGTTTCTCTGGTTCCCTATCATTTTCTAACCAAAAGCTGGCTTTGGAGCCTCGCTGGGATTAATGAGGACAAAACTCTTCTTTGTTTGGTGATATTAATAGGCAAATGGTGCAGAGTAGATAAGGGAAATACAGGCAGTTTAGGGTTACCTGTCCTTTCCTGAGGGGTGGGGAGTTATCTAGGTAAGTGGGGATCTTCAGCTGGAACCTGAAAGAAAGCTGGTCTAAGGAGAAGGGTGGCAGGAAAGTCAAGAATGTGGTGGACTGGCTAAAGACCCCAGAACAAAATGGCAGGTTAGCGTTTGATCCATGAGGAGTGCAACAGGCCATTGAGTGTTTTCCAATGGAGTGATCCCTCAGATTTAGGTCACGTTGGACTGAATCTTAAGGGAACGTTTACCGGGAAGGTCAAAGGTGTGGTACAGATTTGGCAGTATTCCTCACCTTGACTGGTACAAACCAAGTAGCTGTAGTGCCATGTAGGAGGCCTTCATGGATTGGGCTGGAAGGAAAGTAAGAGCCAAATGTGCTAAGGTTTTCTGGTTTGTACTTTGGCTTATTGCCTGTGGAAGAAAAAGCTGGAGCAAGGTTATTCACAGGATAGGTACTACACAGACTTAACCTGATAGTCTGGTAGATAAAACCAGGATGCTGACAACCTGCATTCAGATCCTGGCTCTGTCACTTAAGTGCTTTGTGGTTCAGGCATGTTGCTTATCCTCAAGCCCAGTTTCCTCCTATGCGGTGTGCTTCATGGAGTAGGGAAGTAAATGGTGATTAGACAGCCCAGTGACTGGTTCATAGGAGCGGTGGTAGTTATGACACAGCTCTTAAGGACAGATTTGGGGTTCGTGGGTATGTAAGCAATCACTCAAGATGCCCTCGGGAAGGAGACGAATAGAGAAAGATTGAGAAGGAATGATCAGAGGTGGGAAACCAGGAGGGGGACGTGGAAGCCACAGAACGTTGGGATTGTCAACGTGAGAGGGAGAGGGCAGTGAGTGAAGAAATGTTACGTAGAGTTTGGAGGTTTTGATCTTGTAGTTGGAGTGATGGACACGTTTGGATGCTTCTGGAAAAGCAGCTAGTTGGGAAGGAATCGGTTTTTGAGAAAAGACAGGGATTAAGGAGCCTAAAGGAGGAGGGATTAAGAAGTTATACATCCTTTGAAGAGGAAAAAGAAAAAGTGGATTTAGGAGCTAAATTTGTAGTTTTGCTGTCAGGAAATCAAGGGTGTCTGATCTCTGAATTTCTCTGCAGTTTGAAAGCAAGGTGACATGTGCAGAAAGGGATGAGGGAATGTAGATTTGCAGAGAATGCAGGTTTGAAATTGTCCATGCAGGAGAGGGGAGAGTGCTTCTGTCAGATAGACCTTGATTTGGATGGCCCTTCACCTCCAATCCATGAGGTGCTCAGAGGATGAGTTTAAGGCTGAGAGGTTGAGAACGCTTCAGGGTGGAGGCAGTTTTGAGCTGCACCTAGAAGAGTCCAATAGGGAACAGCAGAACTTGGAGATTCAGTCTAGGGAAACTGCAGGGAAGTGACTGAGGTATAAGGCACTTGAAAAGGGGTAGGAAAGTACAATGGGGAGCGGGGGGGGGGGGGGGGGGGGGGGGAGGTGTGCAAATAATAAAGATTTTTTAGCTAGGTTGTAATCCTTGGGAAAATCCATCTGGCAGCCTAGTCCAGACTCCAGAGGGAGAGAGCGAGAGGGAGAGCAGGATGGAAGGGGAGATCAGGAAGTTACTAAAATACACAGGTACATAATAGTCCACTCTGATGATAGAGAATTGCACACTTGTCCAGTTACCTTATTAGGGAGGATGGCATTCGGAGAGAATATTGATTTCAGAGTCCGATCCAAGCTTAAATCCTGTCCTGCAGCCCTAGCCCGTTCATGTACTTCCCATGAGCCTCATCTGAAAAAGAGACCCTGATAACCTGCTTTATACAACACTGTGGCAAGGATCAAATGAGACAGACGTAACCCGGTCCTCTAGGTAAAGTAAGGCAGTTGGATAGTTTGCTTTTCAGAGAGCCTCTGCCCCCTACAGCCTCCAGTTTCTAGGCAGTTAGCATCTCCCAACTGTGACAACCCACAGGAATTTGTCTTGAGTTCTATTTTCTCTAATTCACATGTTTCTTTACCTCTCAGCTCTTGGATGAAATTCTGTGTATCTTTTAGTGCCCAAGTTATTAAGGTTACCTGTAGGTCCGCCAGCTAGCTGAATTTTGTGTGTGTTGTGTGTGTCCAGAATAAACCATGAATACATTACATCATTAATACATTTACATTAGAATTGAAATGAAAGGGCCCTTTGATTATCTCCACTAACAACTATGGTATCTTGCAAAGGAACCACTGTGTATGTCCTTGCAGACATTTTCCATGCATTTATAATCTACATGATAGAGTTGTTTCAAACACGGATCTTACACTGCTTATTCTGCAAGTTTTTTCCCTTCATACGTCTGGAGATCTTATCTACTCAGCCCCTATTAATCTACCTAGTTATCTTCTGCATAATAGTTCCTGGTGTGAATGTTCGTGTGACCTATTGAAGTTCATTGTGGAGGTTTATTTGATCTCTATTGATAGACCTTAAGAATGGTGCCAATTTTTTTCTGTTATAAATAGTACTTCCGTGACTATCCTTGTACGCACGTCCTTCTGTACATGTCATTGTTTATTTGGGGCACATTACCAGTCAGTGCGCTTGCGGAATTGAAGAATGCAAGTGTTTTTTATTTAAAAAAAAATTTTTTTTAACGTTTATTTATTTTTGAGACAGAGAGAGACAGAGCATGAACAGGGGAGGAGCAGAGAGAGAGGGAGACACAGAATCTGAAACAGGCTCCAGGCTCTGAGCTGTCAGCACAGAGCCCGACGCGGGGCTCGAACTCACGGACCGTGAGATCATGACCCAAGCCGAAGTCGGACGCTTAACCGACCGAGCCACCCAGGCGCCCCATGCAAGTGTTTTTTAATCACTCTTCCTGGAGGTTCTACCAATTCAGACTTGCTCTGTCAATTTTGACTTCTATCAAGAGTGAATGCGGGCATTTCTGCCTGACAATCTTGAATTCCTGATATCTTACAATTTGCCAATCCAATGTGTGAAAAGCTCTTCCCCGTAATCTCCTTTTTTGCCGCAAATAAAGTTTCCTTTGTGTGACAAACCCACCTGGTATAGTCTCTACCTGCAACTCACCAAGGACTGAACTCATCTTAGTTTGGTTACAGTGCAGTTTGTGGGGCGAAAGGGACAGGGCACCCCTGGAAGGTGGGACAGGAGGGTGAGGGAAGGATGACAAGATCAGTCTGGAACATTTTGAATTTTAGGTGCTTGTGGATTAGCCAAGTAGAAAGAAACGGTAGGCAGGTTGATACACAGAACTCCAGCTCAAAACTACCTGCATGATGCCTGGCCGATAGGAAGCGCTGTTGCTGTGACTATTATTCTATCTGGACTGGAGAGATAGGGGCGTGTGTTCTAGGAAAAGTGGCAACAATAGGCAGGAATACTAATAATGCCATCAACAACAGTGCAAGCGCTTACTCTGACTTACGGTGAGAACCAGAAGTTGCATGAGTTGACACACTCAATGCGCTGAGTTTGTGAGTTCAAAACTACTGCAATTCTCAATTGAGAAACGGAGGTACAGAGTTTCAGTACCTCGCACAGGCCATACAGTGGATATAGGTGGTGGCGCCGGGATCAGAACGGGGACAGTCAGAGCCGGGACTTGGAGGTCTCAGGGCGCAGTCCGGTAGCCGATGGGCGGAGAATGGGGCCAGGAATTCAGTAGGAGGTTAATTACTGCCGGCAAGCGTCACAACCCGCTCGCAGACCCACGCGGAGTGCGGTGCGGACTCGGCGTCCCCGAGGAGCTGGTCGCCCGCTGGGGGGCGGAGCCGCGGAGTCCGGGCGGGAGGACAGCCGGCACCCGGGCGCGCGGGTGGCGGGTCTGGCTCGGGACCATGGAGAAGACCAGCCTCCGGCCGTCCTAGAGCGGCGCTGCGCTGGGGAACGCCTCCGCCCGCGCTTCCGCCTCGGCGGCGGTGGGCGGGGGCGACCGGGTCTTCGGCGGCCCCGCGCCGTGCGGTGGCCCGCCCCCAGCCCCTGTTCCGAGGCTCGGGCGTCAGGGCCCACAGGCATCGCCCAAGGGGCCCTTGCCCGCCTAGGCGCCACCAACCCTCCTGCCCCGAAGAGCTGGCCTGACGTCCCCCGGCTCGCGGTACCCGGGGTGGGGGGCGGTGACGCGTGGGGTCGCCCACTTCCCGCGGTGGAGTGTTCAGATTCGCGTCGGGTCTCCGGTCAGCATCGCCCTCTGGGACGTTGAGCGGCGCCCCCTTTCCCCGGGGGCCAGATCACCACTTGGATTTTGCCGTGCAGCCCGTGGTTGGTCCAGGGCCCGGTTATGCTACCTTTTCTCTCAATGCGCATTTGGGATCTTTGCCACCATCGCTAGAATCATTCGGTACAAACTTACTGGTAATTCATTCATCGTGGGCCAGGGATTTTTCTTGAAAGCCACAAATCCACGGCAGCTCTTGACTCTCGCTTCTCAGACATTCTTTCGAGGAATCTTCAGCCTCCCCAGGCAGCTTTGTCGAATTTACACAGGAAGCAGATTCAGCAGCCCACGAACCACTGGAGGAGGTGCGTTGAGAATCCCCAGAGTGTCCTGGAAATATCGTTTCCAATGAGAGAGGCAAGGAGACTGAGGGGGAAGAGGTGGGGAACAAGGCGTGGTCAGCCTCATTGTGATTCTCTCTCTTAGCTCCGCAGGTGTTTGCTTTTCCAAACAGAGAGGGCAGTGCATGAAGCCAGGGGTCATCAGCCATGCTCCAGACTCTGTGGTCCCAGGTGAGCTGAGCTTTCTTCCAGCTTTCCCCATCAAGAATAGATAAGAACAGTCACTACAGGAACAGGAAGTAGCCTGACCTGGTTAGTCCCATGCTTAGCTTTGCATCCGTCAGTTGAGTAGGGCAGAAGAGGATGTGGTAGGGGAGGTGATGAGGGTGAGCAGGTAAACTTGGGAAGATCAAGTTGGTTGGGAAAGAGGGAGGCACCAGACAAGAAATTCTCCTAGAGGGGCTCCTGGGTGGCTCAGTCGGTTGAGCACTGGACTTCGGCTCAGGTCATGATCTCAACGGTTCGGGAGTTCAACCCCACGTCAGGCTCTGTGCTGACAGCTCAGAGCCTGGAGCCTGCTTTGGGTTCTGTCTCCCTCTCTCTTTGCTCCTCCCCTGCTCACGCTCTGTCTTAGTGTCTCTCCAAAAACAAAATGAAAAAAGAATAAAAACAATTAAAAACACTTTTTAAATGAGGGGCCTGGGCGGCTCAGTTGGTTAAGCATCCAACTCTTGATTTCAGCTCAGGTCATGATCTCACGTTTCATGGAATCGAGCCCGGAGTTGGGCTCTGTGCTGACAGTGCGGAGCCTGCTTGGGATTCTCTCTCTTCCTCGCTCTCTCTCCCCCTTCCCTGCTCACGTGCGCTCTCTCTCTGAAAATGAATAAATATTTAAAATAAGTAAATAGATAAAAATAAAATTCGGGGCGCCTGGGTGGCTCAGTCGGTTAAGCATCCGACTTCAACTCAGGTCACGATCTCGCGGTCTGTGAGTTCGAGCCCCGCGTCAGGCTCTGGGCTGATGGCTCGGAGCCTGGAGCCTGCTTCAGATTCTGTGTCTCCCTCTCTCTCTGGCCCTCCCCTGTTCATGCTCTGTCTCTCTCTGTCTCAAAAATAAATAAACGTTAAAAAAATAAAATAAAATTCAACTGATTAAAATGAGAAATTCAGTTCCTCAGTCACACTAGCCACATTTAAACTTTCTGGTCAAGGTGATACCTGGTTTCTTCAGCGTATAGATAATTATCTTTCCCTTGCAACTAATAAGAAATCTATGGGGCGACGTTTAAGATCATGCAACTATCCTGTTCATCGTCAAAATTTCCTCCTAGATTTAGCATCCATTAACAATTCTGGTCCGAACCAATCTTCACCACGATGGCTGCAATCCTGTGGTACTTATGAGCTCTGTCTCCCACCCAGCAGATGCTATACGCAGAGAGGTTGTTGATGTGACAGACTGGGGCAGAGTAGAGTGTAAGTCAAGGAAGAGACATTATAGTGCCACTCTTTTGTATAAGTGGTCAGTTCATTTTGAAATGTTTGCCTCCTTATTCAACCTTGTATTAAGTGCTCAAAGAAAGAGGGCCCCCTTTTGTCTATTTCCAAGTGCTTAATATCACTGATTCCCATCATCTGCGATAGAGAATAACTCTTCCTTCATACATGCGTTCTGACGATTGAGTGAATTGATGTAAAAGTAGTTGACCGAGGATAAGGCACAAAGGCCTGAACAACCTGTGAAGGTTTCCCTCTCCCCGGAGAAGGTGGAAATGGCCCCAGGGGACACAGCGAGACGCACTTGGTGCAGAGGACAGTGTTGCCAGGTCGGACAGAGGCTTGGGTGATCTGGAAGCAGGTCCCTGCTCAGGGATGGAGACTGGCGCCCTGTCTCTGGAGTCAGGTATGTTAGGAGAGGAGGAGATAACACTGCACATCGCCTTCAAGAGACAGTAAGGCAAGATGGCAGAAGGAGGGAGAACCACCAGAGTGAAGGGAACTCTGTGCCCTTGGAATTGTTCCTCTGTCCACACAAAGACATGACTGGGAAAGACCAGAGAGAACCTGAGTGGAGGGCCCTAATAGGGGCTCCAGGATGGATGGAGTCAGGGTAAAAGACAGATGGCCTGCTATGGTCATTTTAGAAAACATGCCGGGAAGATTGACCCAGCTCATGGAACCAGACGTGGGATTGATGTGACCACCAGGCAGGCAGCATCAGGTGCTGGAGGGTGTGCTTGGATTGGGGCCCCAGCCGTTGCACATTGAAAATGTGCTGAGGGCTGTCCCTGGCTGGGGTGCTGTTGCAGAGCTCCTTGCCAGTGCAAGCAGGTACTGTGCATGAACAAGTACATGGGGCTCAGAGCCATGGACTCCAGTAGAATCAGGGCTACCCCGGAGCTCAGGCCCCTCCTGGACCCTCACACAGGGCTTGAGCGGGGGCCTGTTGTTTCAGGAGCCAGTGACCTTTGAGGATGTGGCCGTGTACTTCACCCAGAATCAATGGACTAGCCTGGACCCCATGCAGAGGGCCTTGTACCGGGAGGTGATGCTGGAGAATTATGCAAATATGACTTCCTTGGGTAAGTCCTCCCTTCCGTCTGAACCAGCTCTGCCCTCAAGGCCCTTGGCTTCCTCCTTGGTGGATCTGGGGTCTCCCATACCCCCAGGACTGATGCTTCCGTGAGCCGAGCTCCCTAATCCCTAGTTTCAGGAGTAGCTAATGGAAAGCGATCTGGGATCACTTTGGTTTTCAGCAGGACTTGCCTCTTCCCTGTTTCCTGGTGGGGACTCTCCTGAAAGGGGTTTTTGCTCTGGGCGCAGACAGCTGAGAAGGTTCCTGGTGGCCCCATTTTCATTGCTCCACTCTTCCAGTGCCCTGGAGTCCTGGGCCCCGTCTCCCCTGTGTGAGAGTCTCTTAGGACCCCCTGTACACGCTGTAACGACAGAGCTTTCTGTCCTCTCCGATGGAGCCAGAGTAAGACCCCCACCACCACCCCTGAACAAAACAATTTGAGCGTCCCTTAGATCTCAAGATTGTCTCAACACTGACCTCCCTTGGTGTCCTGGGACTTTTTCACCTGACAAAGCAGAAGGTGGACTGAGAAGGGTCAGCAGGGTCTCTCCTCAGCTTTCTGTTCCTTTTCCTTCTCCTTCAGGAGCATTTCCATTCCCCAAACCAGAGCTGATACTCCAGCTGGAGCGAGGAGAGGCACCGTGGGGCCTGGATCCCTGGACACCCATGGGGGGAGAGGCCCCAGGAGATGTCCGCACAGGTAAGCAGGAGAGCCTGCCACTGTCCTCTTCTGCTTGGCCTCCTCCCGTCCGTTAATGATTCAACCAGAAGAAGGTTTGGCTTCTGTCATACCAGCTCTTGTGGGCTTGGCAACGGTCACTCTCATTCAGAAAAGTGCCCCTTGCTAGCCTTCAGCCCCAAACTCGAAAAGACCCGACCAAACATCTCATTTGCTGTTATTTTTCCTTGTAAAGCCACAGGGTTTCAAAAATATGTGGTGAAAATAGGCTTTTGGGGGGGAGGGGTCAATTTAGGAATATAAATGCAATACAGTAAGAACTTGTTTCTATAAGAACGTTGTAGGTATGAGTGTGTATGAAACTGTACATGAGAATAGAATTATTAGGAACTCCTAAACCCTACAGATTAGCTGTCGAAAGAAAGCCTGTGTATTTATTGGGAATGAATGGTTTCCCTTTTTGAAAGATACCATGAGAACCATCCAGAGATTGGGTGTTCAGCCTTTCTCACTCAGTTGGCCCTGTTCGCATACTCCCTCCATCCCATATGCTATTCCAAGTCTTATAAACCAAATGCCCCTTCCTGATTCAGCCCCACTTCGGCCTTCGTCGGTGCCTTTGGGTTGACTCAGCACGTGCCGTCGTCTTGATTAGAAACCTCTCTCTCTCTCTCTTGGGGCGCCTGGGTGGCGCAGTCGGTTAAGCGTCCGACTTCAGCCAGGTCACGATCTCGCGGTCCGTGAGTTCGAGCCCCGCGTCAGGCTCTGGGCTGATGGCTCAGGGCTGATGGCTCAGAGCCTGGAGCCTGTTTCCGATTCTGTGTCTCCCTCTCTCTCTGCCCCCTCCCCCGTTCATGCTCTGTCTCTCTCTGTCCCAAA